TTTGCAAAATAACCCTTAATTTTTTATTCTCTCCTTTTAAAAATCTTATCCCTCCCTTATAAATGATAATTTTAGGTATCTTATTAGGGATATAAATAATATATTTTTATAAATCGATTTGGGTATTGGATCTACTAGTTTAGATCAACACATAAAATCAATCCCTATCCAACAATAATGGAAAGCAAAATCTATGATGAATTCTATATAACTGTTGCTTCATACTCCAATGTGAATAAACCAGTGATAAAGTAAAAAATGTATATCCACGAACCATTGTACAGAATCAATCCATACTTTTTGCTTTTAGGAAATTCTATCTCTAAATTTGATCCACTAGTCAAATCAGTGGATTTATCAATTTTTATCGTTTTTACGGGATAACTTATTGAATTACATGGTGGAAGGAATCCATACAACCACATGAAAGGTGGGGTGAATAATTGGCAACAGAAGGATAATTTATTTGTTTAATCATTTTTTTATTTTTTATTTCCCCTTCTCGAGAAGCATCTAAACAAGTATATGTTGGTAAATTTAATTATGTGTATTTATATCGATTCTGTTATGATTCAACCCCGTAATATTTAATTATGTATATTTATATCTGGACAAATTTTATTTTACATATATTGGTAAATTTACTGATTCACATTTTGATTTAGGCCTATCCATTTTATTTCATTTGCAACCCTGCAATACATTATTTTACTTCTCATAAAGAAATAAGATAAAGCTAAATATGAAGCAAAAGTAATACTTGGCCCTTTTGCACTTCTATAATTTACACCCATTGCAAATAAAATTTGCACCGCAAGCAAACTTAGCTTAATGGTGTAAAACTTAAAAGAAAAAGTTTTATTTGAAGGGTCGTAATCGTTCACATATGGAGGACGGGCTATTCTATTCATCAGACAAATCGATGATAAGGGACCTTAAACCTTTGGACTAAAAAAATCTCACCTATCTCAAGATAGAAGAGAATCCAACCGATACAACTGATTTCGAATTCTATTTTGAGCAACCTTATAGGTCAGAATTATAATGACGATTTGACCTTTTATATTTATTTCAATAATAATAATAATAATAATAATTATTATTATACACATTCAAATATTAAGTTGAAATATTATATTTTGTATTACTTATTATTATTATATACATTCAAATATTAAGTTGAAAACAATCAAATCATTTAAGCGATTCAATGATCAAATGAGGCAATCGTCTTTGTAATCATGAGTGTTTGGATCCAAATATTTACACTAATTATTTTGGGGATTGGTTTCAACAATTTGGAACTAAACCCTACCTAATAAAAAAAGGGCAAAGTCAATTCAAGGCCTGTTTAAGGTCAATTCCATTCATTTTCAAGTAGAAGAACCTACCCATTTACCAATCCCTTGTGACAACAGATATCTCTCACCAATTTGTATTGATTAACTCAAAATTTTTGGCTCAATTTGGAAGGAATATAAATACAAATATGTAAAATGTAAAACTTTATATTTTATATTATTTTATATATATTGGTACTGTACATATAAGGTTAAAGAATCTTTGTTGCATTTGCCATTTTGGAGCATAGATAGATACTCTATAAGGTTAAAGCCCTTTGTACACGATGTGCAAATCAACGATGATAAATGCAGAGAAAATGAACAATGTCAAATGAGGTGAATAAGTAAATACAATATTGAAATTAAAACATTGATTGAAGTGTTGCTCTTGTTCATTTTGTAAGAAAAATGAAAACTCTTATTCTCTTGTAAAGAGGAATAGCTTTTTTTTTTCACTCTCTGTCTTCTTTTTTCATCAAAGAGAAAATGCCAATATGAGAATGAGAGTGCCAAATGACTCTTTACTCCAAGACAAAAGAGGCATTTAGAAAAAGTCAAACGATAATAGAGAATGGGTAGTCATGACAATATAAATTTATCTCTTTCTCATGAAACAAAGAATACCGGTAGTCATTTCTACCATTTGTTTTTAATGTTAAACTGGTTCGTGCCTTGATAGAACTCACCCCTAAAAACTAAAAACCTTGTCCATGACACATTAAATGGTATCAGAGCCTAGTAGTATTCGAACTGAGATTAGGTAGATTAATGCAAAGCCAACTTGTGTGGGTGTTAGGATTGCAGAGCATGGTGGAATGTTACAATCTGTGTCCCACTTTGATAGTATGAGATGTTAATGTGAGATGTCCTACATCAATAATATGGACCTAACAAAATCTGTCCTTACAAGTCTTGCAGTTGTGCATTTGTAACATTTTTATACTTTATAAAGACATGATCGTAAAGACTATTTCTATTTATAGGAAGATATTCCCGATGCATGACTGTAAGGGCTTTAAGATTGGTATGAGAATGGATTTTTGTGAAGACAAAATCCAAATTCATTCACGACAAAAACAATTATCAGTTTATCACCGAAATTGAGTGAATTTGTTATTAGAGGTAATTGTTTCTAAAACAATTATATATCCTCTCATTGATTCCGTCACATTTTTTTTTCCAAACCTCGTGGATTTCGCAATTCAACAAACCCTACTGTTTATGTTGCAAAAAATCCAAAAATAAAAAAATAAAGGTATTATTTTGTTTGATACACTAACAGAACTATTATTAAAAAATCCAAATCTTGTCAATATATAAATGGATTGGAGACAGACCAGATAAATCCAACTAATCATAAGATTGTCATTTTACAAAATTTATATTACATAGGATTTCTTACTCGATCGAGTTCGGATCTGGTCCAACCCGGGTCCCAACGTTCGGATCTGGTCCTATCCTATAGCGATCAAAAGTGTGGAATTGGTAGACGTTTTGGAGAGCCGATGGATGACGTTAGAAAGAGTGGAAATTGGTGTTTGGCTCTATTGCAAGGAAACAAAACCAATGAAAGAAAGTTTAAACAAATCAGGCGGATCATCTATTGAGCTTCCATAAATGATCCCACATGTTTTGAGTCCGAATCTCCTGTTCATGAGAATTTTATCCACGTTTATCGCAATTACATATGGAGAATATCTCATCCTCTGCATAGTATTATATAAGGGGAGTTGTTTCCAATTCATACGGGGTAGTATGTTGTGGGTAGACTTGGGCAGGAGATCTGAACTCACATGTTTTCTCTACCATGTGGAATGTGGATTGAAAACCGAACGCTCAGTCCCAAATTATTCCGGGATAAGAATTCACATCCACCCTCGATAAGGAGGCGCACTATAACGTCCCACAGCACATATCAGCCATGTATTGGGAACATCTCCCGATAATAGTATATGAAATGATGAACCATCATTAGATGTTCCCAATATATGGCTGAAATGTGCTCTGAGACGTTGTGGGGCGCCTTCTTAGGGGCTGATTTGAACTCGGTAACGTGTTTTATGAATCAAATCCATCGGTCAATCCAAACTCTATTGTGGAGTAAATCATAAAAACACTAACTATTTAAGACCGGATCTCCTGTCTACAAGAATTTTGTTCATGTCTACCCATATAACATCGCAGAATATCTCATCTTTTTACATAGTATTATGCATGGGAAATGTTTCCAATGCACAGTGGTTGTGGGTAGACGTGAACAGAGTTGTTGTGGGCAGCTGGAGTCCAAATTTTTATTGATATTTTTACACATCGGAATTAGCTATTAATTGAATCTGTTAAGACTCAGTTTGAAAATAGTACAAATGCAAATATGTACAGCATAAATGCATACAAAATATAAGGGTTTACACTACATATTTTCATTTGTACTCCTTCCAAACTCAGCCTAAATAGGCTTGTACTTAACCACAAAAAACCTTAAGTGCTTTTTGGTAGAAAATTTTCATTTTATGCTGTGTTTGATTTGAAAGAAAAAGGAAGGAAAAGGTAGGAAACTTGCACGGGCCCTACCTTTTCCTCCCAAAATTTAGGGTTTTACCTTTTTCTTTCTTTTTTACCAATGTTTAAAAATCAATTTAGATGCTAAATTATTTTATTTTATATTTAATTTATGTTTTTAAATTTAATATTTGTAAAAAAATTAAAAATTATAATTTAAGGCCATTTTTTTTGCAAAAATAACGAGGCAAGTAGCCTATTTGGAACACATAAATCTTAAAAATTACTTAAAATAAAAAAAATTACCTCAATAAGACATTAAAGTGCAAAATTATAGCTTCCTAAAGTTTGCATACACATTTATTATACAACCCGTGACTCGGTCATCGGGTCAAACGGGTGGTGTTTCCTTTCATTACTTTTTCTTTCAAACCAAAAGCAGCCTTAATCTCTCAAAATCAAAGATGCATCAATTTGTTTAGATTCTACATCTTGTTCATGCCTCATTAAGGGCTTGATTGTAAGGGTAAAGTTACTAAAATGCTCATTTAAAGTTTAGATTTGAGAAAAAATATCAAAATAACAAAAATATACATCTTAAAGCATGATTATTTTTTTTTGCCATTTTTAACATTTTTTGTGGTTTTTACTTTTCTACATTTTCTCCTTTTTCTTTTGTTGTATTTTATCATTTATAAAATAATCTTATAAAAATAAAATGATATAGGAATACTTTGGAATTTTATGAAGTTAATTGACGGAACTAAGATAAATGACAAAATACTGAAATCTAGAAGTTTAGGGTGCCGTTGTCGCAAACGTAAAAGTTCGGGGCCTAATTGACTAAGTGGCAGTGCCATTACATCCAAACTCCCAAATTAGGGTTCGCATCTTTTACAGTGGGCCTATAAATTTAATATCGATGTGGAATTTTATCATTGGTTCCACAACCCGAGCTAAAACGTTCAGATAATCCGAATTTCCCAAAGTAGACGGTCCTATTCCCAGTCTATAATTAATAATTTACCCCAAAACAAATAATAAAAATAAAAAAAAAAGTCGCACGTTGCTATGTATGTTACACGACCAAGAGACTGGCTGCACAAGTGTAGGAAGTAATGAACGATGAGATGATGATCCGCAGCTGGTAGGTGGGGGTGGGGTGATGACTGATGACTGATGAAAATAGCCATGATCTTTCTTTCTTTCTGCACTTCTTCTCACTCTGTCATAAAATAAAATAAAATAACCATTAAAGGGTTGCGATTGCATCTCCTCCCATCAGGCAACCCATACCCATCTCTCTTTCGTTCTTTGTTGTTTTCTCTTTACTCCCTCTGCAGCTCTGCTATGATCTGGTAGGAGTAAAGAGACCCAGTTTTGTTCCGTTAATGTTTTTTGTAACAAGAGTACTTGTCTTTTGAATATTCTAGATTTCTTTGTAACAAGAGTACTTGTTGCTCGTCGTTGCCAGTCGTCTACATTCTACATCAGTTTGTTTCTCAGAGTTTAGCTGCCAAGATGTTTACGGCGCAACCGCCACGCCACTTCAACTCTACTATCACTACTTCTTCGGCACCCCGATCACTTGCAGCGGTGATCGCCGGCACCAGGAAGCATGGAAGTATCAGAAGGACCCCGAGACCCGAACTCGGTACAAGGGCCACCGGGATTCGCTCAATTCGGGCTGTGATCAGCAGCGAAGACAAGGCTGTGGGCACTGCCACACCACCGTCTACGGACTCTAATGGGTCATTAAGGTCGTCGTCGTCGTCTGTTATAGATGTAAGGGCCGCGATCACAATTAGGAAGAAGATGAAGGAGGGGTTGGTTGACAAGATTGCTGATCGATGGGAGTCTTTCATGAATGGAATTGGTCAGGGGATCATAATCCAGATGGTCAGCGAGGAAATCGATCCCGGTTAGCTCCCCTGTTTTATGTTTTCAATTGTTTGAACTTCTATTGGAATTGGCATGAACTCTGAGAGATTTCTTATCTTTGCAACATGCAGCATGCTCTAGATTGTCTTTTTTGTTTGATATTGATTTCCCTCTCCCCAAAACAAGAAAATGGACTCCACTTATTCTCCAAATAAAATAGGCATTCTATCTCTCTCTCTCTCTCTCTCTCTCTCTCTCTCTCTCTACCTTCTCTATATTATTTTCCCCACTCATCTCATTTCTTCCTCTTCTTGGACAGGATCCACTTGATGGGTACTAGTTGTAATTCGTTTTCCCCTTCCCTTTGGTTTTCTTTATATTTATATTATTAATTTTTTCCATCAAATGGTGATCTTGTTGCAGGTTTTTTTTTCCTCCTTCCCTTTGCCTTTATACTAAAATAGTTCTATTTAACCAGTCGTCATTATGTGAGAGGGAAACTCCACTTGCTGCCTGCATTCCTTGTTAGTTTCATTCAGTCAGACATGGGTTTTGGACTTCTTTTTTTGCCTTTTGGAATTTTTACCCATCTCAGACAGTATTTTTTATCGACCTTCGTGTGTCTGTGTTCTGTGTTTATTTGTTTGCCCGTGCATGCTCGTCCTTTTTCCTCTGGTGCAGGATCAAAGGTGTTCCTTTTTTCTTTTTCCAGAGACCAATTCAGGCAAGATTGTAGAATCACCTGCAAGAGGATGGTTGCCAAAACCATCAAACCGTTCATATATTCTCGAATATGCTGCCAATTTCACTGTGCCTTCCGACTTTGGTTGTCCTGGGGCTGTTCTCATCACTAATCTTCATGCAAAGGAGTTCTACTTGATGGAGATTGTGATACATGGTTTCAGTGAAGGCCCCATTTTCTTTCCTGCAAATTCATGGATCCACTCACAGAAGGATAACCCTGAGAGCAGAATAATTTTTAGAAATCAGGTAAAAATGCAGTACAATTTGATTGCATTTGCCTTTAGTGTATGAAATCTGGAAGGTGTGTACAATAACATTGTTCATTGATCTTTGAATGCTGCCTTTCTTGTCTTAAACAGGCATATTTACCCTCACAAACACCAGCTGGTCTTAAGGATCTTAGATGTCAAGATTTACTGAGCATAAGGGGGAATGGGAAAGGTGAGAGGAAGCCCTTTGAAAGAATTTTTGATTATGCTCCTTATAATGACTTGGGCAATCCAGACAAGGATGAAGATCTTGCCAGGCCAGTTCTGGCTGGTGAGGAGAGACCCTATCCTAGGCGTTGTCGCACTGGAAGACCCCCGACCAAGTCAGGTACGGTGCGTTCTAAAATATTACTGGGAAATCCTGATAGCTTTTACATTTTCAAGTCTTGAACCAGTTATGTTCTTCCTAGATTGGTGCTATTGTTTGTTACCAATCAATTATGCTTTCTGGATTGGAAACAGATCCTTATTCTGAGAGTAGAATTGAAAAGCCTTATCCAGTTTATGTTCCTCGGGATGAAACTTTTGAAGAGATTAAGGAGGCAACTTTCTCTGCTGGAAGGCTTAAAGCCCTGTTTCACAATTTGATACCATCTCTTGCTGCCACTTTGTCAAGCTCAGACAACCCCTTCAAGTGTTTTTCTGACATTGATAAGTTATATAATGATGGTGTGCTCTTGAAGCATGAAGATGGAAAAGGCGTCCTTGAGAACCTGTTGTTGGCAATGTTGATGAAAAAGGTTTTGAGTGCTGGTACAGTGTTATTGAAATATGAAATTCCAGCTATAGTTTCACGTAAGTATTGCTCCTTTGTATTTTAGGTGGATAATCTGGGGATGAAACTTCCATATAAAATTGTTTTCAGATCCTATAAATTGATCTCAACTTTCTGTTTGAAAATCCAATTTTTTATGTGTTCTGCAGCTTGATCTAGTTTCTTCTTTACAGGAGATAGATTTGCATGGCTTCGTGACAATGAGTTTGCACGTCAGACTTTGGCTGGTGTTAATCCAGTAAACATCGAAAGACTGAAGGTATTCTGTACTTAATGAAACGAATTTGTCTGTTGTTAGTGCAATGTTTTGATTCTACCGTTTCTTTGTGGCATCCTTGAGTTTAAAATGATTTTTTGTAGGAATTCCCTATTCTCAGTAAATTGGACCCTGCAGTATATGGACCTCCAGAGTCAGCAATAACAAAAGAACTGATTGAGCAGGAACTAAATGGAATGAGTATTGAAGAGGTAAAATTATGTAAGATGCATGTTTAAATGCTTCTGTATGTAACACATTTTTAACACTATACTTTTCTGGTGATTGATGAAACAGGCAATTGAAAACAACGGATTGTTTATACTTGACTACCATGACATGCTCTTGCCTTTTATTAAAAAGATGAATTCCTTGCCAGGAAGGAAAGCTTATGCCTCTAGAACTGTTTTTTTCTACAACAAAGCTGGCATTCTGCGGCCTATTGCTATCGAGCTTTCTCTTCCTCCAACACAATCCAAGCCTCAAAATAAGCATGTTTACACTCATGGACATGATGCAACAACCACCTGGGTTTGGAAGTTGGCCAAAGCTCACGTGTGCTCAAATGATGCCGGTGTTCATCAGCTAGTGAACCACTGGTAAGATGATTGAAGGCCTGGTGCATGTATACAATTATACATATAGGATAATCAAAAGTAAAAGCATATTTTGCATATGCTGCTTACATCAATTTATCTACTCTAATCTCTAATGGATTGGTGCTTGCAACTTCTCAGGTTGAGGACTCATGCTAGTATGGAGCCTTATATTATTGCTACTCATAGGCATCTTAGTACAATGCACCCAATTTACAAGCTGCTGCACCCACATATGCGATACACATTAGAAATTAATGCATTGGCGAGGCAAAGCTTAATAAATGGAGGGGGGATTATTGAGGCTTGTTTCAGCCCAGGAAAGTATGCCATGGAAATCAGCTCAGCAGCCTATAAGAGTATGTGGAGATTTGACATGGAGGCATTACCAGCTGATTTGATTCGGAGGTAATGTCATCTTGTGATTGCCTTAGCCTATTTAGTTTTTCAACTATTTTTGATTAGGGATTGACTTTGACAGTTATTCAGAATATCAAAACGAGAGAACCCAATATTGCATGGGTAACCAAACAGAGGTCCTCCTGTTCTCTCCCTCGATATATAATCTGTGTATTCTGCGTTTCATTATTAGGAACCAATTTTCTTGATTTCAATTCCTTTTTTCTACACCTTAACAAGAAGGTGAAAATGTTAAAATTGACAAAATTCAGTATCTAGTAAATTGCAATCATCTTCCAGTGGATGCATGTTTTGGATGATCCCCATTTTTGAGTACTATACTTACTTTTCATCGAAACTAAACCATCATAGTTCTTTTCTATAAATTTCAGGGGCATGGCAGTAGAAGATCCTTCTATGCCGTGTGGCATTAGACTAGTGATTGAGGATTACCCTTATGCTGCAGATGGGCTTCTCATATGGTCTGCCATAAATGAATGGGTAGAAGTATATGTTTCTCATTTCTATTCTGAACCTGGTAGCGTCTCCTCTGATGTGGAACTCCAAGCTTGGTGGAATGAGATCAAGAATGAAGGTCATCATGACAAACGGAATGAACCATGGTGGCCTAAACTGAACACCAATGTAGACTTATCTGGCATACTGACCACAATGATTTGGACTGCTTCAGGACAGCACGCGGCTATAAACTTTGGCCAGTACCCCTTTGGAGGGTATGTGCCCAACCGTCCTACCCTCGTGAGGAAACTAATTCCACAGGAAAACGAACCTGATTATGAGAAGTTCCTTCAAAAGCCTGAGCAAACTTTTCTATCATCTCTCCCAACCCAACTCCAGGCCACGAAGGTGATGGCTGTCCAAGACACCTTGTCGACCCACTCCCCGGATGAAGAGTACTTAGGTCAGGTGCACCAGTTGCATTCCCACTGGATAAATGATCTCCATATCCTAAATTTGTTCAAGAAATTTGCATCCAAATTGGAGGACATAGAAGAAACAATAAACGCAAGGAATAAAGATACACGTCTAAAGAACAGAAGTGGTGCTGGTGTTCCTCCATATGAACTGCTTCTTCCCACTTCGGGTCCTGGAGTTACTGGCCGTGGGATTCCAAATAGCATTTCTATATGATGGTTCAGCTTATTTGCGCCATTGTGACCGACTTTTCATTTTCGTCAGCCATAACTGCTGCACATAATTGGCTTTTGTTCGAGGCTTGTTATCTTTAAGCAAATTCTTCCCACGTTTCTTCCTGATGTTTAATATTCGGATTGGGAAATGGAATATACTCGTCTCAGTTCTCGGCATTGTAATTTGGCTTTGCGGGCTCACTCAGTGTAAGTTGGATTATAGATGATGAATTGAAGATGGGTTTAGTTAAATCTTAAAAGATTAGATTTTGTCATTTTCCTAGTGTTCTCCTATCAATCAGAATCAAAAAACAAATTGAAGGTAAAGGAACAAGAATATGTGTTCAGGTGATTCATCTCAGCGCAATATTTGAGTATGTTTCAGGGAAAAAAAACGTTTTAATTTCACTGGGCTCTGCAGTGGAACCTCGAGACATTAAGGGTCCATTTGGTTTGCAATCAGGATTGGAATTGGAATCAGAATCCCCTGTAATTGGAATCGCCTATTTGCTTGTTTGGTTCTGTCAAGAATCAGAATCAGATTTCAATCATTGATGTTTGGTTTATTTGGAGTTGAAATTGCAATCAATTGAAAATTTTCAATTTTGCATTAGTGTAACTATTATTTTAATAATATTTTATGAATATATAACTATTATTTTATTAGTATTTAATAATTAATATCTTAATGTTTATTATTACTTTAGTAATATTGTGTTACCATTTTCTTATCAATTTATTAATATTCTATTGTTTTTGTTTTATTAATTTAAAATTAATTATTATTTGATAGTTAGTATGTTTGTATTTTATTATTACTTTAATTATATTAATTAATTTATTAATATGTTATTATTAGTACTATTTTATTATTATTATTTCATGTATTGTTTATTAATATTGTATTATTATTATTATTGACATCTTTTTATTAATTTAATAATATTTTATTAATATTAGGTATTTAGGTTGGGGGGCTATAATGGCCATTCCCCCATATATGGGGGAATCCAGGCCAAGAATGTAAATCAATCTATGAATGGGAATCCCATGCCAGGCATTTATTCCAAGGAAACAAACGGACAATAAGTATCAATTGAACATGTTTTGCCTAACAATAGGGGCATTTTTGACACTTTGGGCCATGAATGGAAAAATTTATAATCAATCTGGTTGCCAATCATGGGTTTTCATTAAAATTCACGAGGGGTTTTGACCAATCAATACCCCCACCCCCCAGGCCCCCACTACACACAACTAGGGGTGGGACTTTAGCGGGTTAGGGTTGGGATTTTGTGAAAATTTCAATGGAAAGCCTGAACCCAAGCCCAAAATAGTATAAACTGTTTATTCGGGCCAACCTTAGTTGCACCCTAAGCCCTGACTTTAAGGTTGTGTTTGGTTTGAAGAAAAAAGTAGGGAAAGAAAAGGAAGGTAGGAAAACCCATACAAGGTTTGTAAAGATTTCTCTTCCTTTCCCTACTTTTTCCTTTAAACCAAATATAAACTAACTAACTGCAAAAACCTCCCCTGACGTTATTGGCCCATTCCCTTGATTTCGTTGGATACAATGAAAATTGTCGAATTATTTTTACTTGTCTACTAGAAGAATTAAATGTTTTTTAATACCAAAATTTATACTTATTTGTCTCTTTGGTTATTGTCCCCTTTCTTCTGAAAAATAGACTTGTTAATAGACTTATTCATGGGCTGGGTAACCTAATGGTCCAGCTTAGTCCAACCTGTTCTAAGTTGGGCTTGAACATGAATTTAGGCCCACGGACTCGAGCTCAGGCTCAAAACACTGGACCCGACTTTTTTGAGCCAAGCTCATGCTTTCTTAAAAAAACCCGATCTTAACCTAATTCCGACCTAATAATATATTATATAACAAAAAATATATCTTACATAATAAAATATATAATATATTATTTTTCTTTGTTTCCCTTCTCTTTTTTCAAGTCATAGTGAGATCTTTCATTATTTTTGGGTTTTGATGTCTTTTAATATAAATAAATCAGTTTTTTATTTAATGAAAAAGAAAAAAAAATCTTTAATCCCAATTTTTTTGCCAAACTTTGGGCTTTATATGAGGGTTGGATCGGGTTCAAGCCCTAGGCTTGATGGTTAGGCCAGGCTTCGGGTAGGGCCTAAATGTGTCCTGTTAATACAAAGACAAAGTCTGGCTTGGCCCGTGAGCAGGTCTACTTGTTGATAGGATTGCAACTTGGGCGGATCCAACCCAAGCCCGGACCGATACAACCTACAATTTTACGTGGGCCTAGCCCTTAGATAACCCCAACCTGGCCCGAGCTTGACCCTACCTTATCCTAACCCAAGTGTGATCCACCTATGTACATACATATATGTATTTTTTTTTTTGATGAATCATACATATGTATGTATAATTTTTTTTTGGTAGAATATATATATANATCCTAACCCAAGTGTGATCCACCTATGTACATACATATATGTATTTTTTTTTTTGATGAATCATACATATGTATGTATAATTTTTTTTTGGTAGTATATATATATATATATATATATATATATATATATATATATATATATATATATACCTTTATATTAAATTTTAATGTGAGTTGATTGACCAGCATGAGCCTAGCTTGGGCCTGAGCCCAACCTGAATGCATCAAATTTTAGTTTGGGTCAGGCCCTGGACTAGATAGTTTGGGCTTAACCTCATACTTGAGCCTTATGCCCAGTTCTTAGGGTTGAGCCTAGGTTAAGTTTAAACCCAACTTGCAGAACTTGCATCCATACTTGTTAATGGGCTTGGTAGCCCGATGGGCTGGCCTGACCCGACTAGACCTGTTCATGGGTTGGGCTGGGCTGGGCTTTGACTCTTTATTAACAGAAAAATGTTAGGCCCGAGCCCGAGCCTGGCCTGACCAACGAGCTTACAACTTGGGCCCGAGCCCGGCCTTGATAAAAAGCCTGAAGCCCGAGCTAATAAAAGAAATTCAAATTTTTCCCTATTCAAATGGACATTTTCTATTTTAATTTAGATGTTTTGTTCTCCTATTTAAATGAAAATGGGCCTACAAGTGAATCAACAACATTCTCAAATCAAAAAATTTATTCAAATGGACATCACATAGGGTTTTTACTTAGGTTTAACTATAGGTCGGGCCGGGCCGGGCTCGGGCCAGGCTATTTTGGCAAAGCCCGAGCCCGGCTCGAATTTTATGCGGGCCGGGCTTTTTGGCCCGAGGTTAAGCCCACACGCCAAAAAGCCTGTTCAAACCCGTCTGGGGGTTGGGCCGGGCCGGCCCGTCGGGCCACTCGGCCCATGAACAGGTTTAGACCCAACCCATTATTTATCAGGATTGAACAAAATGATAGGCCTGCGTGATGGGACTTGGGCTTTAAACACTAGAGCTAGCTATTTTTCAGGTTAGGCTCAGACTTTCTCAAATAAGCGCTGCCCGAGCCTGAACCCAACCTGATAATTTTACATATAATAAAAAATATATATTAATAATATAGTAAATATATATAATATATATTAGTTTATGAAATTATATTGTAAATAAGAATTTTTATGTCATACTCCAATACTAGGCATCGGACTTGGATTGAGGCAAAACCTTGCCCGCCCGTGAATGGGTCTATTCTGAAATCGCTCCCGCCCAGAAACAGACGGAGCGAGCACGGTGGCTCTAAATTCATTAGGAAGACAAAAGGATTTACCAACATCCCATCTGACAAAAAAACTTGGATAATGTGTAGTGACTAGCTCTAAATTCAAGGGCGGAATCACGCTCCTCGCGTCAACAGGTAAAAGACAACCCATTTGCAGTCCAAACCCTAGATTTCACTATAAATGAACAAAATTCAAGTCGGAGATTACGCGGATCAATCAATGGTGTAAAGAAAAATAAGGTTGAAAAACGAACCAGGTTCCTTAAATACTTAAATTCTCTGTAATTATTAGGATTCTAAAATAGTAAGATTGAATTGAAAATTTTTTGGGCTTGTTTGTTTGGTTTTGCAAATTCAGCTATATTGAAAATGGGTTATCTTGGATTGAGCTCAGTAAAGAACTGGGTCTACCATAGTTATAAATTGATAGAGATTTTATTACTACTGTACTAGCATAGATGGGGCACAGATATTTTAGTTCTTGGGTTGATTTCAGAAGTCAAAAAGATAAACATTGTGGCATGGGCAGGGGAATGGCGGTATGACGTTCTGAGAGCTTGGCTGAGAGTTATAGGTTTCAACTCAAACAACCCCCATTGGTAATAGGGGTGATCAAGGATAATTTTGGTATTAAAAATCCTTTTAACACTTCTGATAAGTATGGGGTAATTTGGAAATTTTCATTGTCAAGTGGAATTAACGGAAGGGGTTAGTACGTAAAGGCCAAGGGAAGTTCAAGTGTTTCAGTTTTGTTAGATTATATATGAATATATGTAACATGTAAAGTAGCCACTGAATCGATCAACTGAACTCAACAATTCACTCCATGTTTTCCCACCATAAACAAATTTCTCGCAAAATTCACCCAAGTCATCAAGTACAGAAGATGCAAGAAGAGCTTCCTTGTTAGTTGCAGAGAGGCATGCCAATTTTTCGTTCATGGCGAGATCAAAGAACACCAAGAACCCATTCATTACTCTTAACCCATTTGATTTCTTTCAATCTCTTTTTTCGATCTCTCCACTTAAATCACTTCACTTCTGTCCGAAGAAGAACGTCCCAAGAAACCAAAGGCTCTGTTCTTACGGAATTCCTTCTCTCGTGTGTATCTTCCTGCTTGCCGCTTTCCTTCTCCTTGGAATTTCAAGAATCGACCTCGCACCCATTTCTCCGCACTCGATACCGTGTTATCTCATGGCTTCTTCATCCGGATTTCCTTACTCTTCTTTCTCATCTCTCTCGCCTCCATACTCTCCATTACTTTTATCTTCGCTATCCAAGATTGTGTCGGCCGATGACGACGAGGACGTGCCGAGGCTGTTGAGTGGTGCGATGTTGCCGTTGCCGGCTCACAGGGTCACCAGAAACTCGACTGCCGAGGAGAGGGAGTTCTGGCAGCAGCCTGACGGGGCGGGTTACCGGCCGTGCTTGGAGTTCAGTGTCGAGTATAGAAGAGATTCCGTGAGAATCACCAAGGAGAAGAGGAGATTCTTGGTAGTTGTGGCTTCAGGAGGATTGAATCAGCAGAAGAACGAGATTGTTGACGCGGTTGTCATTGCTAGAATTCTTGAAGCCGCCTTGGTTATGCCCATTTTGCAAGTTAATCCGATATGGGAAGACGAAAGGTACTACTCTGCCCCTGTCCTGCAGAAGCAGCTAAGCTCTTCTGTAATAAAGAATGATTGGAGTTGGTGCAAAACTGCAAATGGGTTGTTGCTTCAATATTGTTTATTTGGATTTGGTTTGATCAATCTTCTTCAGAAGAATTCAAAATACTATTTTCCTTTATGTTTCTACAATTAAATTTCGTTCTATTATTGCTATATATGCAGTGAATTTTCGGATATTTTTGATGCGGAACATTTCAGAAGGACGCTACAAGCTGATGTTAGGATTGTATCATCTCTTCCCTCCACTCATTTGACCTCAAAGCAGTCTATCGAGACCCGAATTCCTTTCAACGTTTCACCTCTTTGGATCCGCACCAGATTCTTCAAACAAGTAATTAAGATGGATTTAATTAGTTACAATGAACAACAAAACAAAATCCCTCCGCTCATTTTACTAGTTGTTGTTGTAGTTGAATGAAGGTGTTCTGGTGTTGAAAGGATTGGATTCTAAACTCTCTAAGGATCTCCCTCCGGATCTTCAGAAGCTTCGCTGCAAGGTAACTATGTTTCTTTCCCGCCCATATATATACTAATCGCCCAACTGCTAGAGTGCTAGTAAAGAGAATGAATAATGAGGATGAGAGACATGGGTGGTGCAGGTATCATTTCATGCGTTGAGATTTGCGGCTCCAATTAGGGAACTTGGGAATAGGCTGGCAAGGAGGATATGGATTGAAGGTCCTTACATTGCGTTGCATCTTCGACTGGAGAAGGATGTATGGGCCAGAACTGGATGTCTTACCGGCTTAGGGCCTGAATACGATGACATTGTTGCCATGGAACGGGAGTCTCGGCCGGAGTATCTCACGGGAAGGTTGAATATGAGCCACCATCAACGGAGGCTTGCAGGGCTTTGTCCTCTCAATGCATTAGAAGTTGCAAGGTAAATTAATAATAGAACCCCTCAGTCAAATCACAAATTAATGATGGTTAATTTGATTTCAATATGACCGAATGAATTCCTCCAAAAAAAAATGGTGGTGGTAGGCTACTGAAGGCATTGGGTGCGCCAAGGAGTGCACGAGTGTACTGTGCAGGAGGAAAACCATTTGGCGGAAGTCGAGCGCTGCGGCCATTGATGATGGAATTTCCCAACGTGGTAACAAAGGAGATGCTGGCGAGGGATGGAGAGCTGGCACCATACGTCAACAGGTCCTCAGCTCTGGCCGCAATCGACTACATTGTCTCCCTCAGCAGCGACGTCTTCATGCCTTCCCATGGTGGTAACATGGCCCGTGCTATGCAGGTACGTAGCTTCAAGCAACTATTACTACTATATATATTATTTATTTATTTATATTATCTATAAAAAAGTGTGAATTCCCCTTTTTCTAGAATTTTTATTGAACATTTTTTACCCTCTTGTCTAAGCATACAGTGGACATAAAAGAGAGCACATATGTCCTTCAATCTCACTACGTAGCTTCAAGCACATATGTTCAAAAACTGACCATGAATTATAAATAGTTTTTACTAGTATATAGAAAAGATGAATCAACCACTCCAGTGGTTAATATTTCATATTAGTCTTTGAATTTGTTATTAACACAGATTTTGGGTTCTATCTGAATCTATTTGGGCAGGGTGACCGTGCCTACGCGGGTCATAGGAAATACATAAAGCCAAACAAGCGAGCGATGCTACCATATTTCGAGGATGACTCCATTTCAGATGCAGAATTTGGCAGCATCATGAAGAAGCTGCACAGGACACTGGTAGGGCAGCCAGAGCCCAGGACTAACAAAAGAGACCGCGATGTGATTGCGTATCCCATACCCGATTGCATGTGTACTCTTTAACCCATTCCCCCACTCCCGACCCGAGCCTCCGAATTTTCCTTTCAACCTATCTTCTTACGAACGTCCGGGTCCGACTGCTTCTTGTCCAATTAATGTTTTCCATTTCTCCAATCTTCAGTATACAAATTTCCTTTTTTTTTTGAAGAAAATAAGCAACTCGCTGTAACGACTGGCTACTCGATTGAAACTTGATTCGGTAGTTGCATTTAAGTCATAATTTCTCTACTAACTAGAGTACTTCGAATGCTAATTAATTTGGTCCTAGTACCGGTCTATCGAAGACAACTGGGGCACGTCAAAGGAATATAGTCTGATTTCATTGCAAGATGAAACAGCTATTGTTCTCAAGTCAAGGAGTGGTGATCATTTCTAGTCCGGCCCAACCCACAATATACTCATAAATCCACTTTCTATGTATATAAATACATATGTTTTATTTTATATTATATAAATGTATAATATATGCATAATATTATATAACAGTTTATGTTTATAAATTATGACATCTATTTTATACGTATAATTATATATCATATGATCTTTAAATGGTGAAACAAGAATCATGTGGCCAATTTTATATTAGTTATTCAGTGACATAGGGCCAATGCCCAGCCTTGGGCTTATATTTCAGGCCCGAACTATAACCCTTGTTGTAGGTGTTAAGCCTGTAGGCCCTGTACCCCTGTTGTTTTCAAGTCTAGGGGTTGGATGTTTAGAAGAAAAGAATCGCAGGTTGGAATACTAACAGCCAAATTAAAATATTGATATCTCTGATATCCTCAAGTGGTTGATACATTGTTTTTTTTACTTTACTTATTTTATAGGTATTAGAAGGTTTCATTCATCATTTTAAAGTAAAAAATAAATAAAAAATCTTTGTATGGTGTATCCAAGAATATCTCGTAGACCAAATATAATATGATATGCCCCATATTGGGCATATCATACCAATATTTTAATCCTTGCTACCAGTTAACAGGTTAGTGGTGGCAGGGTACATGGCCAGGCAACTGTCAATCAATACACACACAGTTTGCACTTCTTAGGGTTTGAAACCTGTGTCTCCTCAAAGATAGATGCTGAATGACCAACTGAACTAATTGCTCTTCATCAACTGTTTAATAATATTCAAACTTCACTAAGATCTCTTAGCCAACACAGTCAGCTACTTGAAAAATGATCTCCACTTATGGATTCAAAAGAAAGAAAGAAACACGGAAGAAGAAATATGATCTGTATAATTTTGCTGTTTTTTTTTTTTTCTCGTAATATAGTGTTTCAACAGTTCTTGACTGAACTGAGGAGCAAACAAGACCGACTGGTGACTGATGAAGATGAAAATAGTCTGTACACAAAAACACGAATTCACTATACAAATTAAGGACCCAGGATCATTTAGACATCCAAATGACTTGAATATTGACAATGGCTCGTGTAAAGATACTTGGCAGATTTCTTGGGGATTATTGTCAAATTGTTTTTATAGTTGATGTATTGGTGTACTTAAGTCCATATCTCAGCCTAGTAATGGAGATTGAATGCATGCTTACGGCAGCAGTAGACATCCCAAAGAGAAAAACGCGTGGAAAATCATATCACCTCTCTTTATTACAGGTTGTGACTTGTTTCCCTGACCAATCCTGTACACAAGGATAATAGATAAAACTACTTACTCTTTTCCATGCCTAGAATTTAATGGAAAGAAATGGAGTCATAGAGAGACAGACAGAGAAAGAGAGAGAGAACCAAAGCCAAGGTTCAACGGAATAAGGAATAGTAGTGTGATCTCTTTCTCTCAACTTCTCTTCCTTTTTCTTTCTGGGTAATGTTGCATCAACCATCTTCCTTGGAGACCGGTCGGATCTACTACTTCCAAGCTGCAGTTCCCAATTTTCTGGTTTTTGAATTTTAGATTTTTCGCTTCTCTAAAAATTCCATGTCAGCATCAAAAGCTCATTGGAGACGCTTGCCTTCGAAGGATGAAAGCAAAATATTTCCTTCCTTTTGAGCTCAACACGTCTTTTGCTCAACTCAACCTATTCTTCTCAAGTTTCGACCAATCTCCACATATAAGGTAAGCAAGCTCTGCAATCAAAATCTTCTCAGTATATTCATCCTTCAACTCATTTTGTTTTTTGCTTGAATAGGTTCTCTTTCAAATATTGTTTATGTTCTTATCCAAACGCCTCAATAGTTCCAATTTCTCACTTTTTTATTCAGTTTATTTAGAGTGTCCAAATGTAATCAAGTGTAGATTATGGATTGCAATGAACAACAGAGGTAGAAGACCATTTTTTAGATACTTTCTATATAAAGGATTGAAAAAAACAGCTTCAAATCTCTCTATTTAGTAAAACGAAATGATCCAAACTATTAATATCTTAAATGGTTAAATATGAGACCTTAAACCTTGCAATTTTTTATTTAACAGCTCAAATGTTTGGAAATGATTGGAAAATGAAAAAAAAAAAACAGATTAAATACATTTAAAAATGTCAAAGAATAAAACGGGTCATCACAGGACCTATTTTGTCCTCGGGCAAAGAAGATGACTAAAAATGGCTTAAATAATTCTCACGCTATTGTCAACCTGCCTTTGTAGGTGAATACGTTCTATCTATTTGCTTCTATATACTAAACCATGGTTTGTTTTCTAAGGGTTATTTTCCAAAGCTAAAAGCTTTGGACTCTGAAGCTACAGCCGTACGGGTTGAGACTGAGTAAACAACAAGAGTTGAATATCCCAATCTTTTGAGTTCCAAAGTTTGAACTAGGTTTGGGACTATTGCAAAGACTTTGTCGAGATTTCATCTTTTGTTATCCAAACAACTTGAAGAGTATATCTTGACACCTTCAATTACTTTGCTTCTACAAGTATCGGTCTAAGGTTTGATGATTTTCTTTTCGCTAATTCTTTTGTTGGTTGGATTTAAAGCCATTCAGTCAAGTTCTGCCATGTGAAAATGGATATTTGAAGCAATTCGGTAAGCTTTGCTAAATATATGGGTCAGCACAATAATATGTGCTATTTTGTTTGTTTGGCAGTGGTTTTGTAGGTTGTTTTTCTCTTTCTTTTTCCCCTTTTTATGAGCATTGTTTTGCTTGGTTAGAGATGGGGCACATGGGAAGAGGAGTGACTGAATGGTGAGTCGTTTTATTTTTAATTGCTGCATCAAGACGTAGGTGCTATATATATATATTTGATTCCCTGTGTGTGAAGCCAATTAGATCCATTTTTCTCTACATTTTAATGAAACATTAATAGTGAGGTCAGGTGAGAGGACATGAGTTTATGCATCATATCCCAGGATGCAAACGGATCATATTGGATTTGAAATTGGGGTATACTTGAATCCGATCCAATAGAAATTAGATTATAAATTAATAATTAGTAAAAACTAAAATCAATTTAAGTATTATAAAGATTAATATAGATTTATGTAACAATAATAATAATTAATTAATTAGTAGCGTTAATAAATCTATGTTTACTAAAATTAATCAATTACAAAACCATGTAAGTTTCATTTAAAAATGATATAAATTAAGAAAAATTAATAAAATAAGAAATTATTAATTTCAAAGTTAATTTTAATTATTATTCACTTAAATTACATTAATAAAAATTTAAATTTATTTAATAAAAGATAGCACGACTTAGATTGTTTTAGAAAACATAGCCAAAAGAAATGCTTGCATTGGGCTTAGACCAACTTGACTATCACAAGACTCCTTGTGCCACAATTTTTTTTAACAAAACGTGTGCATTGCACGGGTTAAAGAAAGTTAACGGTTTGATATTAATTTCTTTTCCTTCTTCCTACTTTTCTACACTCAATTTCAATCTGTATATAATAAGCTACAAGGAACCAAAACAAAGTTATCAACTATTTTTAGAAAAATATCTTGACAAAATTGTTGTGTTTCAATTAATCTGAAAATCAGATAATAGCTTGGAGCATTTTTCTAATGCATCAGAACTCAGGTTTAAGTTTGCCTCTGAACCCACTAATAAAATAGTGACACAATGAAGAGAGAGAGAGAGATTGATCAAAATTTTCGGATGATGGTATTGACGTGAGGGCAAATTAGCATTACATAGAGAAGATGGATGGACCGGGCTTCAACGAAGCGGGGCTGGTATCTACCAAAGCCCACATTATGATTCGGGTTCGGGCCCAAACTCGGGTTAGGCAATTGCCACTTGCCAGTAGAGACCCAACTCCGGGTACATAAGTAAGACCTGGGTTCCGGAGTCCCATTTGAGAGAATCAGAGTCTTCAGACTCCCGGCAAGCGGCGGAGTGGAAGTGGAATCTCTCAAATCTGAGGCGCCTCGATTAACCTCTTTCTTGGAGCAACTCGACTCTGCTAAACATTCTCTCGGATATCTCTATATCCTGTAAGTTGCATTCCATTCACAATCTTCTGCATTTGTGCTTCCTGCTACCAAGTGCTCTATGCCTCTATACTTTTGAAGTTATACGCTTTTTGCCTGGTTTTTAATGACATCCGTTTATTTCTGTTTTGGTCTGAGGTGGATTTTGAAGCATTGAAATTGTAACAAACAATTAGGGTTAAGTCTGAAACGGGTTTTGATCATTCGACATTGCAAAGAAGTTTCAAATTGATTTTCGGCTAACTTTACTTTAACGATGCATTCTTTTCGTTTTCGATCGGCTATGGATTCATTATGTTGATGAAATGTGCGGCTTTGTTGCTTTTTTAGCTTTTATCTTCCTTTTTAATTTTCTCAGACCGAGTTCCGGTTCTTTCATCTTAATAATACTAATCGTATCGTTTTAGGGTTGGAGGACCTTAAATAACGTGTTGTTTTGTCCTTGATACCATGACGTTAGTGTACGGTCATATAAATATCTCCATATTGCATAAGGAAAACCAATTTTAGTGATACTCAATACTGAATTAATGATCGTGTAATAAGATAGTGATAACGTAATAAAGGCACATTGTAGAAATCAATTTTAGTGATACTGAACACTGATAAAAATAAATAATGATAAAGGTGCATACCAATCCAGTGTATCCATGGTAGACCCACCATAGCCA